TATATATATATATATATATATATATATATATATATATATATAGAGAGAGAGAGAGAGAGAGAGAGAGTAGACGTTTTAGTGCAATGTTTCCTAACCATTTTCAGAAAAAGCACACAGTTGGGTTTAAGTGTCCCACGGGATCGAACTGCCGCCACGTTTGGAGATGCGCCATCGAGCAAATGTTATTTTTCACGTATGTATGCTGTTATTCAGCTAAAAGCTTTTAATGTATTGGCATGAATAATCGTTGCATTATATTTTATTATATTTCAATATATGTAAATAAATTCGATATTTATAAATTATTTTGTATTACATCTTAGTGAAATGTGATCTTTAATTGTCCAATTTACATTATTCAATTTTTTTCGATTTTTGTAATCTTCAATAGGCATTTTTTTTATAGATTTATATATATAAAATTATTCAGTTATCCTTGATATTAAATGATTTTATGAACTCTCCTCAAATAAAATAATATGACTGATCATTAGGTTATAAATATTTAAATATGTTTAAATAATAATCAAATTTAAAAGGACGCTGAAAAGACATCTATTTTTGCTGATATTTTTCCATTTATTTTAAAAACTAAATTTAAAAGAAATTACAATGATATTATGCGATAGAGCATTTTTCTAAAAAAAATCTACAAAATCATTTTTGTTTTCAATATAAAAGCGAAGTAATTTGAAAGAAATGCAGTAAAGATATTCAATAATAATCGCTTAGTGATCGTTTACCGCCTTCCTATACACAAATAGCATTAAGATTGAATTCAAATTTTGATACAATATCGATACGTGTTAAAATTTTAAGTATTTGATATTATTTTTTGATAAAATGTTATTAAGACAATATCGTATCGAATCAAAAATCATTCGATATTTCACGAAAATATTGATATTCTTTTCATACTTTATGAATATATAATGTTGATATTTTATGAAGATAATTTTTATTTATATTAATCAGGATCAAGTATATATTATATACATATTATATTGATAATGAATATACTACATCATCTGTCTTGTTTTTCTAATCGTATCTATTCTCTCATTTTGTTGAGTGGAATTCAATATCTGATCATAATTATAATATTTAGAAATGAAATGATCGATTAATGATTGATTGTAATTTTCCATGCATTTTATCATTAATAAATTAATTAATACCTAAGAGTTTAATAGATGTAATTATTTACTTAATAGCAAATATCTGTTATCAAATACATAAAATAATAATTCATAATTTCATTTTTTGGAAAATGTAATGGCAATTGATGATCAAGTAAATGATCCTTGTGATTACAAAAATGATAAATCTTATAATTAGAAAAATTTCTTCTGAGGAAAAAATAGATGAAAATAATATAGATAATTTATAAAGAAAAGAATTGTTCAAAATGATAGTTTTTATATGAAAGTCTTTAGCCTGTGTGTGCATATCCAATGGAATGACTATGATTCATTAATGACTGAGATTAAAAGATGATGCTAAAAATGAAGCTAACACGTGGAGGTTTTGAGTGCATGATGTTATATGGCACGTTGTGTTTTATATTTACTTATGAGAAACATGGTGGATGAAAGTGAATGAAAATAAAAATGAAAATATATATTATTAATAATTAGTTTTGTAAGAAAGTTTGAGCGATATTCATAGTGTCAAGGTTGCTTCAGAAGATCTATTTTTGAATTTCAATTTAATTTATTGACCGGTTTATGGCCAGTCAATTATAAATAAAATACATGCAAAGTTTGAACAAATTGTGAATTAATACATTAATATGGCACTTTTTAAAATAAAAATTGTTATAGAGTGCCAAGAATATGAAACTATACAATTTTCTTCAAGATCTAAATTTTATTGTAAAATTTTTTCTTTCTTGCAAGAATTATTAAATTATATATTTCAATGTTAAAATTATAAATAAATTTATTAAAGTATTTCTTGAAAAGCAATGAAAATTGAATCACAGATAAAAATGTATAGTTGCAAATTCTTGGCATTCCATCATATTTTTTATTTTAAGATGTGTTGTCTATATAAATATATTATTCCGGAATTTTTTTAAACTTTATATGTATACAATTTTAAAAGTATAAAATTTATAAATTTTGACAAATGTTTACATTAATGTAATGAAATCTAGTGAAAAAAATTTAGATTTTTCAAAGATACAAAGAGAATGTAAATTAATTTAATTTATTACAAAAAACAAAAATTTAAATTTTATTAGATTAATTTGAATATATGATATTATTCAAAAAATGGTTTAAATAGATAAATAGAAATATAGGCAATCTCTTCATGCTCTTAAAATTTACAACCATTGTTTATAAATTATTATGATTTATTGTATTTGAATTATTATGATTTATTGTACTTAATATAATCATTTGATTATATTGTACAAAAATGTATGCAATAGAGTTTCATTTATATGAATCTATTAGAAAATTGCTATAACTAGACTGTTTGTATAATAAAAATCCATTTAATTCCTCCACCAGTTATAATTTTTCGTGTAATTAATAGTAGTTCACATTCATAATTGTGAATTACTTGTTTACTTTTTTTATATAAAAATACAAAACACGTTCACATTTTCTCTAAATGATTAAATATTATAATAGAAACAATTTTGCAATTAATTTATTTTGTATTATAGATATAATGTACTATTTCTAATTATATTATATTGGAAAAATATTGTTCATATAAATGGAGTTCCATATATATATTCCATATATATATTATAGATAAAGATTATCTATAATAATTAAATAAATTATTAATGTAATTTAATTTATTAATTTAAAATTTTGTTTTAATTAGATTACCTAGGGCATCGGATGCACCGGTTGTAAGCGGTGGATCTATCTTTTCCTGGGGTACAAAATTTAAATATACTGGTAGAACAGAAAAAGAGGTATTAGAAGAAACGGGTCCACTTCGGAAAGAAGAACCACCTATACAGCGATGTCAAACTACGTGTCTTAGAAGAAAAGCTAGTAGTGTGCCAGCAACCCCTAGTACTCCTAGTCAAGATCTTGTTGAAATAAGTTAGTATCTTTTCTTTATATCTACACATAGTTAATATTAACATACATCTTAAAATCATAATATCATTTGATAAAATCATTAAATTGAGGCAAATGAAATAGATGAGTCAATAGTTATATATTTATAAACAGTTTAAAATACATATAAATATGCATGTAATATAGTAAAACCATCTGTAAAATTAAAATTTTATTCTATTCTTTTACATTGTAAATATCTTACATACATACACATAAAAGTTAAAGAATATAAAATTACTTTAAATCAAATTATTTGATACATTGTTTAAACGTTGTTTTATTTCTTGTAACATGAATTTAAATGAAAATTTTGAGACAATTCTATCTCTGTCACAGCACCATCTCACTCTATTTTCATCTCGCTTTATCTAACACGAGCTAAAATTATAATCTAATAAAAAATCTAATTTAAATTTTTGCAAACTTTTGGCCTCTATAATTGAAACTTTAAGTATATATATATATATATATATATATATATATATATATATATATATATATATATATA